ATTATACTTCTGTCAGCTTAATTTTCCTAAAGCTGGTGGTCCCTATTCCCTTCTAATTTTAGCAAAGACTTCCATACCTGGGCTTTCCCATTTCAATTCTTACTACCAAGTGTGTTCTAACCAAACAATTTTGTTCCCTTAATACGTCCCATATTTTCCTGTGCTATTTCCCATCCTTGGAATGTTACGTTGATGAAGTCCTTCCCAAATATATGTGATTTTTTTCCTATCTTTGTACTTCATAATATTTTGTACCACTTATGCAACTAAAGCCATTCAGCCTTGTATTACAGATATTTGGGCTTCCCCATACTCCATAACTGCAAACCACAGAACACACTTCAAGGTAGACTTAGGTTCATTTCCATGACAATGTCTAACTTTGATTCAGCCCTTAAGAATTATTACGTTGGTGACATATTTTCATTTCCCTCACAATGGCTTTGCACGTAGTACACCCAAATAAATATTTTCTGTTCTTTGTGAGCATTATCACAAGGTAGGTATTTTTCTGAGTTTTTTTTTTTTTTTCCATTTAACATAGCGGTAATCTTTTACATTCATATATTCAAGTACTTTGTATTTTTAATGACTGCATATTCTGTAAAATGCATGATATCTACTTTATTTAACCATTATTGAACATATTAGAAAGCTTTTGAATATGTGCTACTACAGATAATGCTGCAGAGTGCGTCTTTGCACACTAGAGCAGATAAAAAGACAGCTTCCTAGAAATGGAGTTACTGGCCCAGAGGTTATGTATATTTTTTAATTAGTGCCAAATTGCCTTCTAAAAACACTTATAAAATTTCCACCGGTAATATATGAAAGTACCCGTTTCCATGTCTGGATTTTGTTACTGACATTTTACTGGCTGCACAAAAGAATGCTTGCACTTTAATTTACATTTCCCTCTTTTTACTAGTGAAGTTAAATGTCCTTTCATATGTTGTCTATTTGTATTTCTTTTCCAGAAATTACCTATTCATATCTCTTTGCCCGTTTTTCTACTAGGTTGTCTTTTTCTTGATTTGTCACATTTTAATAGATTCTAGATGTTAATTATTTTCACATACATTGCAGGTGCCTATTCCCAGTTTATCATTTGTCCATCAACTTTTTTTTTTTTTTTTTTTTGAGACAGAGTCTAGCTCTGTCACCCAGGCTAGAGTGCAGTGGCACAATCTCAGCTTACTTCAACCTCCGTCTCCTGCCTCGGCCTCCATCTCCTGCCTCGGCCTCGCAAGTACCTCGGCCTCCGTCAACTGCCTCGGGACTACAGGCATGCACCACCACACCTGGCTAATTTTTGTATTTTTAGTAGAGACAGGGTTTCACCATGTTGGTCAGGCTGGTCTCAAACTCCTGACCTCAAGTGATCTGCCTGCCTCGGCCTCCTAAAGTGTTGGGATTACAGGCATGAGCCACTGTGCCCAACTACCTCAGCTTTCTTTATGGTATCTTTTGTAACTTTTCATTTTTAGGTAGTCAGATCTTTAGTTTTATGATTTATGTTGATTTAGTTTTATGATTTAGTTTTAGATTTATGTTGTTCCTTGTTTAGAAAGGCTTCCCAATCCTAAAATTATCAAAATGTTTTCTTCTGATGGTTTTATTTTACCTTAGCTTTTGTTTTGTTTTTTTCAGACAGGGTCTTACTCTGTCACCGAAGCTGCGTCATGTCACGCCTATAGCCCCCCCCAGGTCCTCCACCTCGCCCCCTACCACACCCCCCCCCCACTAATTTTAATTTTTTAGAGATGGTTCTATTGCTAGTCAACTCCGCTCCACCTCCCCCTGCCATCTTTTTTTTTTTTATTTTTTTTTTGGTTAGTCAGTTGTTATTTTTTTCCTTTGTACACTATGACTTTCATTGATTTAATTTGGTTTAACTAACTTTTATTTTTTTTTCTTTTTCTTTGTACACCAACTTTTAAAATTTATTTTTTTTCTTTTGTATTATCTCTTCTATGTGAACTTTAGAGTCAGCTTATGGATTCTATTAAGCATTTTTTAATCATATTGGGATTTCTGTTTGGATTGTATTTAATTTATGGATTATTTGAGGAGAACGGACATCTTTGTAATATCAAATCTACCATTCTGGACTCCTTAGTATGCATCTCCTACTCAATCATGTTCTTTTCTCCTCTGGTAAAGTTTTACAGCTTTTTCCTCCAGCTCCTATACCCTTTTGTTAGACTTATTCCTAGGCATTTTATGGTTTTTATCACCACTGTGAATAGGATCCTTTTTTTTCTATTGCCTTTCCTACTGGTGTTTGCTCTAGATAATAAAACTTCATTTTTATATATTTACCTCTGGCTACCTCATTAGTCTGAATAAGTTTTCAGTTGATTTTCTTGGATTTTCTAAGCATACAGTTCTGTCACCTGCAAAAGCAATAACAGGCTTTTCTCTCTTTTTTTCATTTTTCATTTCTTTTTAGTTAGGAATTTGAATTGTGAAATCCTTAAGTTGTTAGGGATTTCCAGGACGTTATTTTAGAGCAGCCATAATAGGAGGCATCTTTCTCTTCTTCTTAGTTTTAGGAGGAACACTTCTATATATTTTAAATTAAATTTGATGCTTTCTGTGGATATCTGAGGGAGTCATTTTGTCCAGTTAAGAAAACGTTCTTCGATTTTTCACTTAGGATATTTTATCAAAATTCAGTGTTACAGTGTATCAAATGTTATTTTTGACATCTGTTACTACAATAATTGAATTATTTTCCCCAATTTTACTGTTTCTTGTTGTAAACACTACTTGGTCATGATGTATTCTTTTTACTACCCTTACACTAAATTTTATTTAGAATGTTTATATTCATAAGCAAAATAGCCTTGTACTTTTTTCCCCTTATGTTTCTCCTTGCTGTGTCACACTTTATATAGTTGTGAACTAGGTGTATCTTGAAGATTTGATAACATTTCCTCATAAAACTGAGTCTGGTGGCTTTAAAAGATGGAATTTTGACTGCCTTTTCAATTTTAACTATCATATTCAAGGGCTATTAATATTCTAGCCACTTTTCTCTGATCTTGAACAAGTTACTGATTTCATTGAATCTTAGTTTTGTTAACAGTAAATGGAGATAACAGTATCTAATTCCCAGTATTGTAAGGATTAAATGGCATTGATTATTTAGCATAGTTTTGTCTCGCATATGGTAAATGGTCATCAATAATAATCATTATTATCATTGTTATTCCCTTATGTAGATTACTGTAGCAACCTTCATCATCCACATCTCTTACACAGTACAGCTGTAAATTCCACAGTAGACAGGATATGAAGATGAATTAATGGTCCATCCCACAGTGGTAGTCATCAGCTCCATCCGACACACTCTTTGGTGGGTTGAGACCTCTCCCTGAACTAGAGCTTTTTCCCACAGTGCTGTGTCTCAGCAGACCTGGCCATGGGACAGGATGCACCACCTGTGTTGTATAAGGGAGCCAAGGCAGACTGCATGTGTGCACCTTGGCCACCCCTGCCCTATCTGGAGCTTGTTCTCCACATTAGAATGCTTATGTTAGTTTTTGAAGATTTTTAACTTGAATGGAAAGATAACTTTTTTTTAATGTCATTTGAAAAATCAGGATCATAATATATAAGCTATGGAAAGGCAGTCTTTACATGATTGGTCTAACATTCCATCAGTTTTGTTTTGTTTTTAGGAAATACTTAGATGTTTTGTCTCCTTTTGAAAGGAGCATAAAATGTTAGGCTGGGATAAATGTATAAGGTAGAAAATGGAGACTTGTTGCATTCTCATCAACAAGCAGAATATGGTTTTTTCCAGTCTTCTACTACTTCACAGTCCTTCATCTGATATTTAAAATGTATTTATGTTGAGTCATTTCTTTCTCTCTTGCTGGTGAACCAGAAGATCATGAAATGATTCTACAGAGGCAGTAGCATTATGTTCAGTTTCTTTTTTTGTATGCATCAGATAAGAGGCCTGCAAATGGAAGTAAGTCGCCTCACATCCTTTGTATGGTGATCGCAGTAATGTTTGCCTTTTTACCACTGGTGCAACATTTATTAGTTCATAAACCCGCTTCCAGAGAACTTAAGGGCTTTTTGATGAAAGGTGACTGTGGTGGGAACAATGTTAGGTTTTGACAGGCTACTTTTGTTTTTACAAATATTTCTGTTCTTTCTTTTTAGTGTTTAGAAACTACTACCTTAAAAGAGAGTTGGGGACAGGGACATGTCTGGACTAAGTGGAAGTTAGTGCTTAGAGTTAGGATTTGGAATATAAAGATGGAAGTTAATATTTAGAATTAGGATTTCTGAATCTATGAATAGGAAGGTAAAATAAAATTTTGATGTCAGTTCAGCTTAAGCTTCTAAATCATTCTCGCTGAACCAGAGCTTCCCATTGGTAAAAATGTAAGATCTGAGGAATAAAAGCAGCGTAAGAAGCTGACTTTTGGTAAGCCCTAACAGTGATAGAAGAGGGACAAGGCGGCAGTTCCAGCGATTCTCATATTTTCCCCATAGACTGTTCTCATATTTTCCCCATAGACTGCCGGCTGCTTGGCCAGCCATAAACCTCCTCCCCTTTAACTCCCTCTCGTTCATTCAGCAGGCCTTCCTGTGACCCGTGAGTATCAGTGGAAGCAGTGCCTCCAATAAGTTACCACGGCCTAAGAAAAAAGTCTACAAAATTATGTTTCCTGAAGTTTTCACAGTATTTAAGTATTTACTTAAAGGAGTATTTGTTGTATCCTATAGAGTGAATATGGAGAAGGGTAACCCTGGAGCACTAGAAATAAGCCTACCAATTTTCAGTATTAGCCAAGCAGCAAAGTTTTGCTGCTGTTTATTTTTTCTAGCTCTTACTATATTCCACTTTTACCATTGAAAATATTGAGGAAGTTATTTATATTTTATATACATTATATATTTTATGTATTTTAGTATTACTATTACACATAATTATATATCTTTTATATATATAAAGTACCAATGGCTTCTTTTTCCAGAGCAATAATGAAATTTCACAGTATGAAAATGGAAGAAATCAATAAAATTATTCGTGATCTGTGGCGAAGTACCTATCGTGGACAAGGTGAGTACCATGGTGTATCACAAATGCTCTTTCCAAAGCCCTCTCCACAGCTCTTCCCCTTATGACCTCTCATCATGCCAGCATTACCTCCCTGGACCCCTTTCTAAGCATGTCTTTGAGATTTTCTAAAAATTCTTATCTTGGCAATATCTTGTAGCAAGAAAATGTAAAGTTTTCTGTTCTAGAGCCTAACAGGACTTACATATTTGACTGCAGTAGGCATTATATTTAGCTGATGACATAATAGGTTTTGTCATAGTGTAGATAGGGATAAACCAAAATGCGATAAGAAAAAACCATCCGGAGGAAACTTTTTTTCAGATGGTCTCGCTCTTCTTTGTCACCCAGGCTGGAGTGCAGTGACGCAATCTTGGCTCACTGCAACCTCCACCTCCCAGCTTCAGGTGATTCTCCCACCTCAGCCTCCCGAGTAGTAGCTGGAATTACAGGTGTGCACTGCCACGCCTGGCTAATTTTCATGTTTTTAGTAGAGATGGGGTTTCACCACGTTGGCCAGGCTGGTCTCAAACTCCTGCCCTCAGGTGATCCACCCGCCTTGGCATCCCAAAGTGTTGGGTTTACAGGCATGAGCCACCATGCCTAGCCCGGAGGACGCTCTTAACAGAAACTAAGAAAGACAGAGTTGAGGCTGAGGAACTGGAGTATCTGGGTTGCTTCTGGCCAAACCACCAGGCTCCTGAATCCTCCCAGCCAGAGAAAGAGGTTCCACACCAGCCATTTTTTTCCCCTGGTAATGTCAGCCTCGTGTGTTGTTCCTAGGCTTACTTGATAACGTTTGTAAATGACAAAAGGCTACAGAGCATAGGTTCCTTTAAAATATTCTTTTTTCTGTGTCAGATATTGAATACATAGAAATACGGTCTGATGCCGATGAAAATGTATCAGCTTCAGATAAAAGGCGGAATTATAACTACCGAGTGGTGATGCTGAAGGGAGACACGGCCTTGGATATGCGAGGACGATGCAGTGCTGGACAAAAGGCAGGTATCTCAAAAGCCTGGGGAGCCAACTCACCCAAGTAACTGAAAGAGAGAAACACACATCAGTGCAGTGAAAGCACCAAGGCTACACCTGAATGGTGGGAAGCTCTTTGCTGCCACATAATATGAATCAGGCTCAGCTACTATTATTACACTCTCCTGAAGCTAACCATCATTTCCTGCAACATTATGTAAAGTAGACTTTTAAAAGAAGGGCCTGAAGCATTCTTGCAGCATAGGCTAAATGTAGAATAAGAAGCTGAAGACCTGTTAGAGTTTTCATGGCACTCCTTATCAGAATAAGGTTACTGTCTCATCAGTTATAAGATGTACCACTATTTTATGTGCCAGCAGGAATGAAAAAATGCAATTATAACCATAAGATGTTTCAGAATCAGTGACATCATAGTATTGCAAACCAGATTCTAGCTTAAGCCAGAATGAACATAGGAGGGAGTCTCACTAAGGAAGTAGCTCCTCATAGGACTAAGTCCCCACCACCACATACTCAAAGACTTAGCTGCTGGGTCAGGCCCCTTTCATCAGGTGAGGCTCTGTGAGGACAGCCTGCGTTGGAAATCAGGAAGAAGAATGAAGTTTTAAAGAGTCAGGAATATGGCATCCTTGGGGAACAAGGCTGGGTCCTTCACTGTGCACAGATTTGTAACAAAGATGTCACAGATTCTTGAGCTTTCTGCTTTCAGATTAAGGCAGAAGATTACACTTGAGAACACCTCTAAGCCCTTGATTTTTTTTAAATAAAATTCTAAAATCATAGAAATGGATGCTCACATTATCTAACCCATTTTCATAGTTTGCAATTTTTGCTTAAAGAACATGCCATGCAGCTGGGGGCATGGTGGCTCACGCCTGTAATCCCAGCACTTTGGAAGGCCGAAGAGGGCAGATCATCTGAGGTCAGGAGTTCGAGACCAGCCTGACTAACATGGTGAAACTCCATCTCTATTAAAAATACAAAAATTAGCTGGGCATGGTAGCGTGTGCCTGTAATCCCAGCTACTCGGGAGGCTGAGGCAGGAGAATCGCTTGAACCCGGGAGGCAGAGGTTGCAGTGAGCCGAGATCACTCCAGCCTGGCAACAAGAGCGAAACTCCATCTCAAAAAAAAAGAAAGAAAGAACATGCCATGCATATATGTATTATGTTGTCAGCCTAGACAGCTGATACCTTTTTTTTTTTTTTTTTTTTTTGAGACGGAGTCTCGCTCTGTCACCCAGGCTGGAGTGCAGTGGCCGGATCTCAGCTCACTGCAAGCTCCGCCTCCCGGGTTCACACCATTCTCCTGCCTCAGCCTCCCGAGTAGCTGGGACTACAGGCGCCCGCCACCTCGCCTGGCTAGTTTTTTGTATTTTTTAGTAGAGACGGGGTTTCACCGTGTTAGCCAGGCTGGTCTCAAACTCCTGACCTGGTGATCCGCCCGTCTCGGCCTCCCAAAGTGCTGGGATTACAGGCTTGAGCCACCGCGCCCGGCCGCTGATACCAATTTAAAGCATCTGCAGATTACTATCTAAATCAGTCTACAAAAATGACCAACCTTGTGATCTGTAATCAGTATTCCTACCTACTTTGGTGATTTTTAGTGATAATTATAAATGAGAAAATACAGAGTGTGAAACATGGTCTCTTTGGATTAAAAATACTTACAAAAATATCTTGAGGAAAAAGATTTTCTCTAGCTATTCTGAGTTATGAAAATTAATTAGCAATAATTGCCCCCTTGGTGTGAGGGGAGAGAACAAATAATGGAGGTGGGCGTCCATCCTACCTAACACTGGCTTTTGTTGAGGCTCTCGAAGCCAGCCAGGGACTCTGCATGTGAGTGGGTGGTGGTAGAGTTGACAGCAGTTTGGATTCAAAGACAGGAAATGCCTGTCCCTCACAGGGCCAACCTGTGGCTCTGTCTTCTGGCTTGCCTAGGCATCAAAGACAAGACGTAAACTATTCTAAAATTACCAACTCACTGATTCGTGCACACCCACCCACAAATTGAGGGGGAAAGGGGACTTACAGCTCACAACAGAGTAGTTTATACTTCCCAGAATAGCCCTACTCTGTCAATTCTGTGTGTCTTGTATCTTCAGATGGCTTCAGTTAAGTCTGAGGGTTTTAGTATTAGGTTTCTAGTAACCGTGAAAATGCCTAACAGTTCCAGTTACTTGGATTTTCTACAGGTAAGCTTAACTGAAACCACACTTCTATACTCCTGATACTTTGACCTAGGATTTTCTTTTTTATTCTCTCACTCTCAGAATTATACACAAGAATATGGAAATTTAAAGGTAGCTGAGAAAAAGTGAGAGGCTCTAGAAAATGTGTCAAAGTTTTCTGACAGATCCCATTATCAGGAAAATAGCCAGGTCAAGAATTTTTAAGGTTGCTAATCCTACAGGTTTATTAAAATTACAGATAAATGGCATTGTCTCTGTTTCTAGCCTTTGGTCTCAAGTTGGTTGTAGCTGATGTAATTTTTTTATGTGAAGGCATCAGTATTGCTCTGAGCATTTTGTTTTGTGGTGAATGATGGGCTGAGATCATGCAGGTTCTCCTTCTGGAGGACATAAGAATCTGGTCCCAGTGCTGGGCTCTCCCAGAGGGCAGTGCTTTACCTAACAGTGAACCTGTGATGTTTCCCACTTTTCCCTCTGAAAAGATCATGTCAGGACTGCTTGCCTGCCATGAGATGAGAAGGTCTGTGCTGGGCTTCTCACATAGGGGCTTTTTTCCAGGTATTAGCCTCACTTATCATTCGCCTGGCCCTGGCTGAAACGTTCTGCCTCAACTGTGGCATCATTGCCTTGGATGAGCCAACAACAAATCTTGACCGAGAAAACATTGAATCTCTTGCACATGCTCTGGTTGAGTAAGTATCTCACATTTGGGGACAGGTTGTGATAGTTTTTCAAGATCAAGAGAGTTCTGTGGTGAAAACGTTCTCTAGCTGTGTTCCCCACTTCTTGGGGAAGCCAGTTGGTGCTAGGCCCTGGGCTTTACCTTTTGATAGTAATTCTTCAGATCCCTCCTAAAGGAACTAGATGGTGAATAGCAGTCCCAGACACATCCTACCGCTCCCCAAGTATGTTCACAGGGAGAGGGTCACTGGAGGGGTTCCTGGTCTGGTTTTCCTGTAAACCTACCAGAGGAACCCACATGTCATGCACAGCAATTAGCATGCCCTGCTAAGACATCTGTAGGTAGTGGTAGTGGATTTAGGACTGTCTCCCCAGCTTTCCACATGTGTCAGACAACTGTGAAGAATGACAGAGCTCTTACTCAAAAAGCTTATTCGAGATTAGGTAAAATCCAGTGAGGGTAAAATTGCACATACCTTTTACCACATTCACCTGGGGTGGGTACAGACGCCAAGGTTGTCAAGCAGCTCTTGCGTAAGGACTATGCTGGCAGAGAAAAAGGCACTTTCCCTGAGGTCAAAGGAGGTGTTTCAGGCACTCCTGGCTCCAGACAGACCCTTACTGGCAGAGAGGGCCAGAAGGAGAGCTGAGCAGCACAGGGCCACCTTTCTGCAGCCATCGCAAGTAAGGGCAAGTGCTTTTGAAACCTCAAGTACATCCAGCTCCAGGAAGGGGATAAGTGGCTAGCTAAAAGAAAAAGTCTTTCAGGTTTCAGTCACATTGCTGGTTACCTCAGCAAAATGTTCCCAGAACACCCACTCACATCCCTGTGTGTCATAGTAATGATGCATCTAGTGACTGGTGGTGGCAGAATTCTAAGTAGACCCAGCTCTTAAGAAAGCAGTGTTATTCCCCTTACCTGCAGTTTGTCTTTATTACTTTAAAATTTTTCTTCCAGAGAAAAGTAGTAACAGGTCAGGAAAATCCCAGGCGAAGGAATAAGCCTTCTATAGTTGAACAGTTTGGGTATTAAGGAAAACTCAATAAAATAATTATACCTGCTTTAGTGAGAACTTCTGGAAGAAACTAGTTCTTGTATTCCTATGAGTCCCTAAACCAGACCTAAGTGAGGAGTCAGCCCATGTGTCCCTACTGTCTGGAGAGGAGATGAGACTCCTGCCTGGCTGGCCTGAAGGTCCAGGGTCGCTCCTCCACTTCCTGCAGGGTAGCTGGGGCCCTGACACACACAGCACAAGTTCATGTGTCTGGCAAGGTTTGCAGTGACTTTTCAAATCAAAGAAGGGGTTATGCTCTTTACTAATAATATGTTCTAAATATATTGTTTCAGGATAATAAAAAGTCGCTCGCAGCAGCGTAACTTCCAGCTTCTGGTAATCACTCATGATGAAGATTTTGTGGAGCTTTTAGGACGTTCTGAATATGTGGAGAAATTCTACAGGATTAAAAAGAACATCGATCAGTGCTCAGAGATTGTGAAATGCAGTGTTAGTTCCCTGGGATTTAATGTTCATTAAAAATATCCAAGATTTAAATGCCATAGAAATGTAGGTCCTCAGAAAGTATGTAAGAACAAACTGCTTATTTCTGATATCAACTTAGTAAGAAAATATATTCTTTCAAAGGAACATTGTGTCTAGGATTTTGGATGTTGGGAGGTTCTAAAATTATGAAACTTGTTTCACTGAAAATTGGACAGATTGCCTGTTTCTGATTCCCTGCTCTTCATCCCATTCCAGGCAGCTTCTGACAGGCCTTCAGGGTTCAGCAGCACAGCCGAGACTCGACTCTGTGCCTTCCTCCCCAATGCAAATGCATGCTCCTTCTCAAAGCACTGTTGAGATAATTACTGCCTTGAAAATTTATGGTTTTGGTATTTTTTTTTTAATCATAGTTAAATGTTACCTCTGAATTTATTTCCTTGCATGTTGTTTGAAAAACTGAGTATTAATATCTGAGGATGACTAGAAGTGGTGAGATGTATGTTTGACTCTGCTTTTAACTTTATAAATCCAAGTGACCTCTCTCTCTGGGACTTGGTTTCCCCAACTAAAATTTGAAGTGGTTGAGTGGGGTCCCAAAGTTTGACAGTGAACCTTAAGTAATCATCTAAGTCAGTACCCACCACCTTCTTCCCCTACATATCCCTGCCAGATGGTCATCCAGACTCAGGGCTCTCTCTACAGAGAGGAAATTCTCCACTGTGCACACCCACCTTTGGAAAGCTCTGACCACTTGAGGCCCGATCTGCCCATCGTGAAGCCTGTAACACTCCTCTGCATCTATCCTGTGTAGCATCCTGGCTTCACCATCAATCCTGATTCCTCTCCAAGGGGGCATTGCCGTGTGGAAGGCAAGCCAGGCTCACTCACAAAGTCAAGGCCTGCTCCCTGTAGGGTCCAGCCAGACCTAGAAGAGCAGGCCTCGCCATATGCTCTTCAGATGCCATTTCTAAGAAAAGCCTAATCACAGTTTTTCCTGGAATTGCCAGCTGACATCTTGAATCCTTCCATTCCACACAGAATGCAAGCACGTCACACGTTTTTGAATTACGCTTTGTGGAGTTCTGTTTTTCAGAGTCAGCCGGGTCTTGATTCAGTCACGTGGCATGGTTTTGTGCCATCTGTAGATATAACGAGCATACTGCCTAGACAGCTTTTCTCAGCTGGGTCCAGAAGAGAATTAAGCCCTAAAGTCCTAAAGCGTCTGTGCTAGGTTAAATAGTTGGCCCCCAAAGATAGCCAGGTCCTGATTTCTAGAACCCGTGACTGTTACTTTATATGGCAAAGGAAACTTTGCAGATGTGATTAAAGCTAAGGACCTTAAGACAGAGTGTCCTGGGGGTGGGGCGGGGGTGGAGGGGGGTGGTTCCTAAATGTAATCACAAGTAAGATGAAGAGCACATCAATTCTAGTCATATAGTAAACATCCACAATAGCCAAGATATTTTTATCCCAAGAATGCGAGATTTCAGAAAATGAAAAATCTGTTGATAAATCATCACTATAATAAAAATCTGTTGATAAATCATCACTATAATAAAAATCTGTTGATAAATCATCACTGTAATAAAAATCTGTTGATAAATCATCACTATAATAAAACCGAAGGGGAAAAAATTCTGAAAAATTCTAGCAGCTATATTTGATAAAATTCAACATCTAGCTTTAGCAAACTCAGTTTTGCAAAGAATATTTTCTTAATGTTATCTGTTGCTAAATCAAAATTAAACAGTCATCTTAATTGCAAAATAAAACATTTCTCAGTAAATATTAAAGCCAGTTACCTTCTATCAACATGTTTCTGAAAGTGCTAGTTGTTGCAGCAAGGAATAACAAAGGCAACACAAGACCAATACAGGCAGTGAAACAAAATTATCATTTGCAAGTTAAAACAGACTTCCCAGTTTTAAATCTGGTTTCCCCCTGAGTATGTGGCATCCTTGGCAGCACTTTTGAGAGTGGCTGCTTTCGTTCAGATAGGTGCCTTTCTGGCTTCTCATTGCTGCTTCTAGATCATTCTCCAAATATCCCCCCTTCCCCACATTGGAATGAATAGCCATCACAGTATGGATGGAGGTTAGAATGAGCCAGACTGCCTGGGCTCAAATCCTAGCACACCACTCATTAGCTGGGGACCTTGAGCAAGTTATTTGTCCTCTTTGTTTCTGTTTCCTTATATGTAAAAGTGAGTAAAATGGTACATGTTTTATAGGGTTGTTACGAAGATTGAATGACATTATTTATAAACTGCTTAGAACTGCTTGCCACCTACTAAATACTGTGTGAGTGTTCAAGAAAAACCTGTCTTCATTTCACTCTTGTTGCAGTTATCTTTTATTCCCAGCCTGGTTACTCCCTCTTATTTGTTGAAGAGTTTAGCTCCCGGTTCAGTGTCACCCCATTACTACTAATCATTGCTGATTTCAATATCCAAGTGATGGTCTAATACACTCCCTGGCCTCTCAACCTTTTTTATTTTTATTTTTTGAGATGGAGTCTTTCTCTGTCACCCAGGCTGGAGTGTAATGGCACCATCTCAGCCCACTGCAACCTCTGCCTCCCTGATACAAGCAATCCTCCTGCCTCAACCTCCCGAGTAGCTAGGATTACAAGCATGCACCACCGTACCAAGCTAATTTTTGTATTTTTAGTAGAGACAGAGTTTCGTCATGTTGGCCAAGCTGGTCTTGAACGTCTGGCCTCAAGTGATCCGCCCACCTCAGCCTCCCTCAGCCTCTTTTTCTTTCCTCCAGTGAGAAGACACTCAGTTCTATAGTCTTATTCTAGAGCCCAGTCCTTTTAATAACAATAACTGCACCCCTCCAAAATCTCAGTTTTAAGTATCTCACTCTCCAATAACCCCATGGTGTATACAATTCTCCTGTGGTCCTCAATCCCCACAATTCTTTGACCCCACTGAGATTTCAATCCGTTGATTCTATGGCTTTTTCACAGGTCATTTCCCTCATGCCTGTACTTCTCTCCTTATTCAACGTAAATTCCATGGCCCATCATTATGTCAGCCTCCACTGCACTGTCCTCAAACTGTCCTGACAATCCCCAGCCCTACTGGAATCCAGCTCTGCCTTCCTCCCTGCAACCTCCTTGCAACACCTGCACATCCCGTTTCCTTCGCTGTTTCCTCCTCATTTCCCTGGCCCCTCAGTGTCACAGGGTTTCAGTACTCACACGGAGTCTGCACCTCTTTTCTTCTCTGTGCTCACTTATTTGGTGATCCCGTCCAATGTCATAGCTTTAAACCATCTTAGTTTGGGTTCTCCCGGAAGCAGAACGTAAAACAATGCTTCACGTGAAAGTAATCGGTAGGAAATTCGGGAAACTGTGTATGAAAGAGAAAGCAGCCAATGAAAAGTTTACTGTTAAGCCAGCTATGGTAGTAGGCAATTAGAGTTTGGTGCCACAGGGAGACTTTGGGGAGTTTGGCAAAATATATACCTCAGAATTATCCCACCTAAGGGGCAAGAGACCTGGAGTATTTATATAACAACTTCCCAGGGTAACTGAGTGAGAGCTATTCTAGCACGTGTTAGTTTCTGGCTTGCCATGTGTACCAGCAGAACTGCTTTCCACAGTTTAAAAAGAAAAAAAAAAAATATCTGAGCAACATGATGACACCCCATCTTTACACAGAATTTTTTAAAAATTAGCAAGGCATGGTGGTACACACCTGTAGTCTCAGCTTATCGGCTGAGATAGGAGGATCCCTGGAGTCTGAGGATATAAGACTGCAGTGAGCTGTGATTTGTGCCACTGCACTCCAGCCTGGGTGGCAGAGTGAGACCCTGTCTAAAAAGAAAGAAAAACCAGATAGCAGCTGAAAGTTGGCAGGAACACATTGGCAGTTCCTAGGATCATAGGATATATGCAGGGCACTGACCACTCCTACAACCACCATCTATACACTGATAACTCATAAATGTTTGTCTCCAGTCCACATCTCTCCTAAATGCTTGACTGATATATTCAGCTGCCTGTGGATAACTGGGCATCTATCTGCACTTGAATAATAAATGTCTAAGACTTAAAATGAGCAAAACCAATCTTTCTCCCAGAACTTGAATCTCTTCCACAGGCTTTCAGTTAATGGCAACTCCATTATTCCAATTGCTCAGGCAAAAATTGGCATTATCTTTGATTCTTTATCTTATATCTCCTGTCTAATTCATCAGTTTAATACTATGGGTTCAATTTTCCAAAACACATCCGGAATCTGACCATGCCTCACCATTTAAACCAACAGTCCCCAACCATTTTGGCACCAGGGACTGATTTCGTTGAAGACAATTTTTTCATGGACGGGTGGGGTGAGGGGGATGGTTTTAGGATGAAACTGTTCCATCTCAGATCATCAGGCATTAGATTCGCATAAGCAGCACACAACCTACATCCCTCAAGTTCAAATTCACAATAGAGTTTGCACATCATTGCTCTGGTCCAAGCCACTGCCATCTCTAACCTGAATAATCTGAGTAACCACCTAACTGCTCCCACTGATTTAGGGCCTGTTCCCCATGGTTCTCAACACAGCAGCCAGCAATCTTTTTAAAAAGTAACTCAAGAAAATGTGTTTCTCACAGGGGTGTGGGTTAGCAATTCTGAAATTTTTATGTATATACTAAAGTCAGACAAATACATACCTGTGTTGTAGATAATACAAATTTAGTTTCTCACTGTTGGAAAAAGGTGTTTGCATATCAGGAAGGGAGGCCATAAAAAGAACCCTGTGGTGTTGATTGAATCCAAAGGATCTGTATAAATTTATAATTTTAATATCTAAAGGATTTCTACTTCAATGAGGATGGAGTAAAAGCCACCCAAAATCTGCTCCTTCATGAAAGCAACAAGACTGGCAAAAATGTCAAAATCAACTTTTTCAGAACTTTGGAAAGCAACTAATGGTTAGCAACAAACTGAGGCGTGTTTATTAAAGGAAAACAGCTGAATCTCAGAGCAGAAAGTGGCATTTTAAGTTGCCCTAATCCCATGCCCCTCTTCCTTATTCCATGGTAGCCTTGAAAACCAACAGCCCTCTTAGTCTCTGTGAAAACCAGCAACCTAGTAACCACTGGAGGAGGCAGAATGAATTTGGAGGTCCCCCAGATCTCCACTACTAGAGAACTGCCTCTATTTGACTTGTCTGGCAACTCACTGAAAAGCTCCATTTTCAGGACCTGTCTTTATTTAACTCAGCTCACTCTGAAAACAGCCCTTCCTGCAGAATAATCAGTGGCAACTGGGTAACCCTGTGGCTGCCTCAGGCAGCGTTATCAGGTGAGGCTAACAAAAGGCTGACCAAGAAACTTAAAAGGAGAAATCTGGGAAGATGTCCATGGGAGCTTTGACAAGCTCAAGCATAATCCTGGGAATCTAGAAGTCCATGTGCATGTGCAGGGATGTATGCATGTCCTGAGAGGGTCCTAAGCTCTCATCTCTGGCCGACCTTGAAACCCAATTCATGCCAGAAATGAAGGTAAAGGCAGTTGTAAACTGCCCGCTGATACATCAGTGACATGACTGGACAAATATACACGCATGCACTTGATAAAAGCTAGAAAATTTATTGGTTCAAGGCATTAAAAAGAAAATCTGTCCAATCATTAGCTTACCCACTAGGCTGAGTAGAGACTTCAGGAACCAAACATAACAAAGAATACAGAATTTACAGAATTAGTCCAGGAAAGACACAGAACCAACCAAAAGCAGCAACAATAAGGAATAGTAACAGGTGCAAACCCTGGAGAGGAGGTAATCTGACTTCAATAATTGATGTAGTATTTAAAACAAGACACAAAGGACAGGAACATACGACCCATGCCATACACAGCAATTTAAAAAGCAGTCAATAGAAACAATCTATGAGGAAGCCCAGATGTTAGACTTACTAGGCAAAGACTTTAGGTATCAGCTATTGTAAATATGAAACAAAGTCTAAAGAATTAAAGGAAATTATGAGAATAATGTTTCACCAAATTATCAGCACTATCAGTAAGGAGACAAAAAAATAGAAATTCTGGAATTGAGAAATACAATAATGGAAATAAAAATTCACTAGATGGGGGTCAATAGTAAATTTGAACTGGCAGAAGAAAGAAGTGAGTGCAAAGACAGGTCAATTGAGATTATACAGTCTGAGGAATAGAAAGAAAGAATGAAGAAAAATGAAGAGAGCTTCAGAGACCTTTGAGACACTATCAAGTGTACCAGAATACCAAGTATGCCAATCATAATGAGAATCCCAGAAGAGAGAGAAAGGAGCAGAAAGACTATTGAAGAAATAGTAGCCCAAAACGCCCCAAATTTTATGAAAACATTAATCTTTGTATCCAAGAAATTGAACAAACTCTAAGTAGGGTAAACTCAAAGGGATTCACATTTAGATGCATCATGATCAAATTGTTGAAAAAGAGATCTCAAAAGAAAGAAGTAAAGCTAAGAACTGACTTCTCATAAGAAACAGTGCAGGCCTGAAAGCAGTGAAATGACATATTGAGGTGCTGAATGAAAAAGACTATCAACCAAGAATTATTTTTGCAGTGGTGCAATCATAGCTCACTGTAGCTTCGAACTCCTGGGCTCAAGCAATTCTCTTCAGCCTCTCAAATAAGACTACCACCATGTGCCACCAAAATAAAATAAAAAAAAAAAATATTTAAGAGACAGAGGTCTTCCTATCTTGCCCAGGCTGGTCTTAAACTCCTAGTCTTAAGCAATCCTCCCACCTTGGCCTCCAAAAGTGCTGGGATTAAGGTGTGGGTTACTGTGCCCAGCCTCAACCAAGAATTCTATATCCAGAAAAACTGTCCTTCAAAAACAAGAAATGAAGACACTCCCAAATAAACATTGTGATAACCTGTCTTCACCAGACTTGCCCTACAAGAAATATGAAAGGAGAATGAATCGTTTAGGATAAAATGAAACTAGACTCAAATGCACATGAATACTCAAAGAGTACTGGTAAAGGTAAATATATAGGTAATATAAAAGCATAAATGTATTTTGGGGGCTGGGAGCAGTGGCTCATGCCTGTAATCCCAATCCTTTGAGAGGCCAAGGTGGGCGGATCACCTGAGGTGAGGAGTTCGAGACCAGCAGTGAGCCGTGTTTGCACCATTGCTCTTCAGCCTGGGTATCAGAGTGAGACTCCGTCTCAAAAAAATACTAATAAATAAGTAAAATATGTCAGCCAGGCACAGTGGCTCACACCTGTAATCTCAGCACTTCAGGAGGCCAAGGCAGGCAGATTGCTTGAGCCCAAGAGTTTGAGACCAGCCTGGACAACACGGTGAAACCTGGT